TAAGGGCAGAACCTCTAAATCTTTCATGATTTTATACCTAAGGGTTGAGTTATTTTCATCAACCAGCTCAACTGGTTCAAGAATTAAAAATAATAATAATAAGTTCAACATGCCTAAAAGACTAAACTTCTAAATACTCACAAAACCTAAGGGTCAAGTCACACTTAACAAAATACAAAATAATAAAAAAAATAAACACGCCAAATTTAACAAAGCAAAAAAGGGAAGAAAATTAAATAAAATACATGCATATATACATACCATAAAGAAGCCATAGAAGTCTTCAAAGTGTGAACTAGATGCTTCTTATATGATGACAAACTCTGAGCAAGCGATCTTGTAGGATTATATGTCTAGTTTGACTGGTCTCTAACTGATTAAACAATAAGTCAAATTCCTCGATGGATGCTGACAAATCCTACTATAATCTCTCAACCTCAATAGATATCCAAGTAAAGTCCTCCTCAATATAAGTAGCCATTGCTCAAAGCTTTCATTGCCTGTACAAAAGAACCTTCTCTTGCTACCTCCAGCCCTAAGCTCTATTGATATCTATAAAAGCTCAAGCTACTCTGAAATATCCCGCTAGCAACGCCTCAAAGCCTGAAGGCCAAAGTCAAGATCTATGTGGGCCCTCTTCATCTAGTCCCAAGTAGCTCTCACTCCATTTTTTAAACCAGCACAAACTCCAATTACTAACTCCTGTAAGACAAGGTGTAATCATTATAACCTGAAAACAATAACACGGTAAAAGTACTCCCATGTCTCTAAAGCAGTATCCCCATGATCAGAAGATACAACACAGTCAAAAAGTAGAGAAGCCTCCAAATAGAAACTAGCCAAATTTGGAAATGGCAAATCATCAAGGTCCACTCCTAGTAGTAGGTGTCACAATGAAGTAATAATGTGTTGAGCTCTGCTCAACAACTATCGACAAAAATTTATGCAAGCTGGAGAAGGTACTCTGGATGCAAAGTATGCTAGCTTTAGACCTGAACATAAGGCATAATTAAAGCTATTAAAAGGAAAAAAGAATAAGAAAAGAAATATAGAACTATAAAAGAATAAAAACAAATAACTGAATGGTGGATCTCATCTAATAAATCTGTCAAATAGTGGTCACCTAAGTGAGAAGTCATATATTGTAAGGATCATTATGGTAATTCATATGTGATCTTTCAGGATGAATCTGAGAAAGGAGAAGGTTAAATAGCTAACTCTATAATAGTGACATTAGTAGCATCCTCAAATAACATATGTGTAGAATCATTGTCGACTGACTAAGAAGATGATGACCGTTCACTTATACATAAATGCAAATGAAAATGAAAAGGATAAATTTTCATTAATGAAATGAACATGTATAGAAATACATATATTTACCTTCAGCTTCATCATGTGTATATTTAATCGCCAAACAACTCTCCGCACCCAAAATACCTACAGTAATTCAAGTTCTACATTTAAACATATACATGTTAATGAAGGAAACTAGAATGAAGAAATACATAAAGTTCTAATCAAAGACATCTATAATAATACCTGGTGATGGGCTAAAAGTGGCACTCTAGTCTCGTAAGAAAATATGAAAAGGGACACCTGGAGGAGTATGCAAAGTATTTAACTCCAAAATAGGAGAACTCTGCAGGTTGGTAGGGATATGCCTGGATTCTATAATGAGAAGAGAAAATGCGTTGTAAAAATATGAATAATATGAAAAAACTGAAATAAATATACATTAAGGAGGATTGTTAAACCTAAAACATTGTGTGAAGCCCGACGCATAGGGTGACCCCTATTAGTAGAAGGGGAGACCAGTCTATCTTTATAAACTACAATGTTTGTATATTAGTATACATGAAAGAAAATTATAAGAAAAAAATAATATACAACACATACTTGGATCACCATGTTTGAAAGTAGGCTCAAGGCTCCTCTTCCTCCTTCTATTATCAGCTCTAAAAGTCTCCTTATACACATTAGTACGACCCTGAGGCACTAAAGGGTACCTCAACGATCTTTATCCTCTAATGTGTTTGCTATATGCTCGATTCCCCATCTAAATGAAGGAATTAATGTAAAATAGAGAAATATAATGCATTTTCTAAGCAAGCCATTTCTCTCATTAAAATTAATTTAATTAAGCATAGAAGTTCTTTTTTTTTAATTTAAAATAGATAGTATGTTTTCAAATCAATCCCTCACACCAATTATTTTAAATCCGGTTGGAAAGAATTTCATGTAAAGCCCTCATGTTGTCGATCTTAGATCTGACTGTGATGAAATTGAAGACATTGCACCCTCGATCTTAGGTTTGGCTGAGATGATTTTAATCGGAGTCCTCACACCGTTGACCTTAGGTCAGGTCAAGATGATTCTAAATTCAAGGCCTCACACTGTTGATCTTAGGTTTGGCCTGGAAGAAAATAATGGCAATTGCCGCCTCGACCTCCCTATGAGGGGAGGGGACGCTGAGAGGCTATCGAAATTGCCTTAGAAATCTATAGATCAATTCAACTTGAACTATGATTCAATTAAAATTAATTCAATTAAAATGTTAAAAAATTGATTTTTGAATATTACTTAACTAATTTAGTTAATTAATATTTTATGGAACTTAATTGATTTAAATTAATCAAAATAATTAATCAATTGGAAATTTTTTATGAGCATTAGAGTTATCACATCATCTAATGCACAAAAGTTGAGAAGTAGCAAACACTCGCTCTCAAGGCTTTTTAATGACCTTTGAAATCATCATTGCAATTAAATTCATTTGAGTTACTAAAAGCCTACTACCAAAGGGACGAGTATATTCTTCCATTTACTTTTATCCAACTTCTCATCATTCTCCCAAATGTCATCCAACTTAAAAAAGAATTTTTGGATATCATTTCAGTCCAAAGACTATCTTGAAGTGCTTCAAATGTTTCCAAATGAGACCTCTCATTAATAAATTTTGCATAGATAATATTGAATGTAAAACTTTGAATTATTGTGGCATTTTAAATAGTCATAATAATTAATATATTGAAATTAATTGGTTAATTTTAAAGCTACGAGCACTTTTAAATTCAATAGTTTTTTAATATGAGATCATTTTAAATAAAAATTTTAAAATACATAAATTTAAAATTTTAAATACAAGAGTTTTAAAATATGAGTGTTAAAAGTGAGATTAATACATTTAACTAGAAATTTTACTTTTGGTTAATTGCTTAGTTAAAGTTATGAAAGAAAAATACAAGGAAAGAAATATTATTTTCTACTAATCAGACCCATACATATAACGCTCAACAATGCTCTCAAACTCTCCAAACCCCTGTACAGACAACAATTGAATAACTCAAACTCTCAACTCAACTCAAACAACAAGCTTTCAAGTTCACAACAACATAAACAACACTCAACTCAGACAATGCTCTCCAACTTATAAACTCTCAACTCAATACACAACTCTCAAGATTTTTCACAACACACTCTATAAGCTCTCAAAAGTTATCTTATATGAGCTCCTGCAACAAACTAAGGAAATTAATTAGACATTGAAATCAAATTCATATCAAAATAAATGCTAAATACAACAAACTGCAAATGCTACTAAAAACTACTAGTACACTAGTGTAGAAAAAGTAAGCTACTGGCACTGATAAAAACTAGTAAAATAAGAAAATAAATCACTGTAGTAAAAACACTAGTGTCACACAATAACAACTGCTAGATTGTAAGTGTCAAACTAGTAACTATCGGGCTATAAATAACTGGAAATCACAGTCTGATGTCAAACAACTATTGTCCATTCAAAATTTCAAATTTATGGGCATCTTAATCAAAAAATTTTAAGTTGTAAGACCCATAATTAGGCTACTTCTACAAGGAAGCAGTAAAACCTATCCTATCCAAATAATTAAATCCCTAGGTAGTCTTGCTATAGAGCTAGGTTGTAAGACCCATCTTCGGGCAACTCATAAATAGAGCCATAAGCTTATTCCAAATTAAACATACAGGCTACTTTCTATGAAAGTTGTAAGACCAGCTTCAATTCAAAGTTCTGGGTAACTTCTAAAGGAAGTTAGAAATCTCAAATCAAATTAACTTTGAGTATTCTAATAGATATAAACCTCAAAACCCAAATAAAATTAAAACTAAAATCCACATTTAACCACTTCAACTTACTCGGGATCCATGAGAGGAGGCAACCCATGGCTACTAATCAGATTTCATGGACACTACGGTCACTGATTGTAGTATTGGTATACTGAAACCTATAGTATAACCCAGGACGATGTAACCACAAGATTTTGATCGGGTTTACCTCAATTTTTCTCAGAATTGAGAGTAAATACCTAAAATTTATTTATCCTTAATTGAGAGTTATCTCTTACATATTAAAAGGGGTAATTAATTATGAGTGCTTGCACTCATGGAAAGTAAGGACTTCATATATAATTAAACTTTGACACTACCATCAGAGGAAATTTGGTTAATTGCAATCTGACCTAAGGGAAATAGAATTCTACAATTGCAAATCGGGATTCATGCATTCGTGCCATTTTTCTTGAGCCAACAAATTGTGAAAGAGGCCTAGTATCAATTGAGGATTGAGGAGATGCCGACCAAGACGAATAGCTCTGGCGAGGCCTTCGTCTCAGTAGGAGGTCACAAATGGGATCAGAATAATGTATGGTTGGGGATAGAGTCAAGAACGAGAGGAGATGTAGAATTAGTAAATATGATTTAAGAAACAAATTTGTATAATTACATCAATTCGAAATCAACCCCTCGTAATTCACCATTTTAAAATGGCACGGTTCTCTACAAATTGGTCCGATCCGTTGGTTGAGCGATGGAACCATGTTATTTGCTAAGATGGTCCATTAAACGGGTAAATCCTAAACCCATAAACGAGACTCAAATCTAAAATTTTTTAATTGATAGCCTAATCTCCAACCAACCGATATGTGTCCCGTTAGATTTTTAAAACCATGCTTTCAAGCTATTAGCAAATAGCTCGCGGTTGCGGGAATTAACGGTGAGCCGGCACGTAATGGCAGGGGCTTCTGTCTCCTTGTCATCCCTCTCAACTTATCTGTCATTACCTTCTTCACATCGAACTCTTGCCCCAAAACCTTATCACCTACTCGCCGCCGCACCTCCAATTTCCACCTCCTTCTTTCCTTGTTCTCTCTTTATCACTACTCCCACTTGGCATCGTCTCCGTAGGCGTAAAGTGAGAGACTTAACCGTCGCTGCAGATGATGTCGACGTCGATTCTGTTGGCGGTAACGATTACGACATTGACGCTGACGAGGACGAAGTGGAGGAGCTGGACAACAAGAAGGACTATGACGTGGAGTACGATCACCTTCTTGGAGTCCCCATTCCGCAGGCAGATGGTTCATCGTCGGATGACATTGAGATGATTCAAAGCAGCAGCTTCGTCTCCACCCAGGGCACGGAGTCGGAGAAGGTGGTAGATTACCGGATTAACGAGGAGGAGTTCCACAAGATTAGCCTTCTACACTGCGATTTTTTCATCCGAAAGCCGCCTGACCCCGATAATAACGTCTATGACTTTAGAGAGGTCTGCTTTGTTCATTGACATGAAATGATCCTTGCTTTCTTTGTGCAAGGTTAATTGTAATTTATTTTGGCATTTGTACAAACAGATGTACGTCACCCCACCGGACAACGATGTGTATTCGATTCCTAAGGTTATTGCTGCGATGCCTCAGAAGGTAAACTATTGACCTTTCATTCGCTTAATTTGTTATATACCCACATTCTTTGTATTTTTTTTTTTTTTGATAAATTAGTTAGCTGAATCTGTTCTTTTTTAAGATAGGAATTGTTGATATGCTGCTGCAGAGTGTTATATGGCATTCCCCTTATTATTAATATTTTTTTTGTTCATCAAACATATCAGATATTTGCAGTAGTTTGATAGGCACGCATTTCCTGTTTGCAAGAAAATTTAATTCTCAAATAATCTAAGTTGGTAGTTCTCTCGTTCTATTGAAATGATTTTGTTTACCTTGTTCTGATTGCGGTTTTCTACCACCCCCCCAAAAAAAAAAAAAAAATCGTTTCATGAAATTTGGTTTTATGGGTTGTGGTGGGGGATTTTTCTTGCGTGGTTAAGACTTTAAATTTTCTGTAGTCTTGGTATTCGGAGGATGAATAATGAATTAGAAAAATTATAAGAGAATTTTCTTCGAATATAGGAACGCATTTAACTTAATAGATCACAGTGAGGTTCTAGCATTATTCAGAAAAAAAATAAAGCCTAAATTAAGTGCTGTTTATTCTTCGATTTCATTGACCATCAAAGCCTGGTTAATAGGTCCATGATTTTTATCTTACTTTAGAGTGCCCTTTATTTTTATTTCTTAATTTTTTTGCACACTTTATTAATCTTGCATTGGGATTCTCATACAATCTATCCTCCTAGAGGCATTTATCCATTTTTCATGTTATTGCCTTCAGTGTTTTGATGCTTTCTCCTTGGCAGACTTGCTCCCATACTTCTTATTATTGATTGTCATGTAAATTATTTATTTGCGGTTGTGCATATGTCTCTTTGATCACTTATAGTATATTTCTGTACTCTTTGTAATTTTTGTTGGATATATTCTTGTGAGTAGGCTTGAGTTAGCATCTTTGTCTTTGCAGAGGTGATGATGGAAGACTCATTTGAATGTCTTGAGCACTATGTATATGACTATGTACCTATGAAACCTTAAAAAATAGATCATCCATCATATCCAGCTTTTAGGATTGTTGATGGTTAGGGTGTTAGTTTATGACAAAACCCGAAAACCTGACCCAAAAATTTCGGTTTTGGGTTGACCCTTTAACAAACAGGTCACGTTCATGCCGACCCGTTAGAAAAATTAGGCCGTGTCTGGTTTAACCCATTAACCAGAAATTCACCAAAAAATGTTGCTCGTACCTCCTGCTCGCATCTCACCTGGACCTTTGACTCGAATCTCATCCCTCCTGCTCGGTCTTGCCTGCATCGCATCCGCGTGACCGCATCAGCCTGCATCACGCCCCGCTCGTTCTCGCTCACATCGCATCCGCTTGAGTCAGTGACCGCATCAGCTTGCATCGCGTTTTGCCCCCAGTCGCGCTCCCACTCGTAAGCTACACGCATCCCACTCAAGCCAATAGCGCGTGACCGCGTCCATCACATAGAGCGTGATTGTGTCTAACCCACAGAGCATGATCGCATCTAGCCCACAAAGCATGACCGCGTACCACCCAGCCATGCTCGCACTAGTGCTCGATGTCTCCTGCTCTGCTGGTTCTCGTGTTAGGTCGAGCGGACCAGGTCCGGGTTCAGATTTCTAACCCATTTGTGTATCAGGTCGGGTTCGGGTTATGGCAATCGAGAGCAGGTCAATTTGGGGTTAGACTCGAACTCGTCCCAAAAATCCATTTTTGACACCCCAATTGGTGACATTAAATGATCCTAATGCTGGTATCCTACATGCCCTTGTAGGAGACTCGAGCGGACCGGGTCTGGGTCCGGGTTCAGATTTCTAACCCATTTTTGTATCAGGTCGGGTTTGGGTTGTGGCAGTCGAGAGCAGGTCAATTTGGGGTTAGACTCGAACTCGTCCAAAAAATCTATTTTTGACACCCCAATTGGTGACATTAAATGATCCTAATGCTGGTATCCTACATGCCCTTGTAGGAGACTCGCATGCATACAAGATGATACCTATGTGCAAGTGTAGAGGATCATTGGCAAATGCAAATACCTTACAAGCTATTATAAGAGATCCATCATACACTACCTATAAGCTAATGCAATAAGAGTTGTAGTTAATGCAAACAACACTAGGAGATTTGCATTCAATACAGTTCGCCCATGAATGACGATAGAAAGTCTATAATGCATACAGTGGTTCAATCTACAAAAAAGTGTAGCAAAAAAATGCAATAAATGTAAAATCTTACAAGTCGTTGTAGAAGACCCGTCATACACTCAATTTGCAATCTACAAGAAAAATACAAATAGGGTTATAGCCAATGCGGAAGAATTTTAGCAAGTACGAGCCATTTACGAGCCAGCATAGAAGCTCGTGATGAATACAAGTATCTACAAGCAATAGCAAGAGATTCGTTAGTGCATAACAATCTACTTGCAGAAAGCGACAAGTAGTGCACGACAGTTTGCCTGTACGAAGCGGGCAAATGACCATAGTACGATGTCATGCCACCATATCCGCAACATGTATACAAGCAGACATAAGGCATTTTCGAGCTTCCAAATAGAATGATGCATTCAAATGGCAGTTGCTCGCACAAATGACCGGAGTCAAATATTACAAAAATTCCCCCACACGTGCACCACAATATGAGTACACATATACAAGAAAATGCACTTGCAATTATACATCCGCATGAGCCACAAACAAAAAGCTAATGTCTAGTCGAGAATATCACTAGGATTCATTCTCAATCTGTCTCTTGCCAGTAAAGATGTGGCATGTGTCCTGTAACTGTTGTTTTTGCCACAAAATGACACCACATCATAGATTTCGCTGCTAAATGGCACCACATCATAGGTTTCGCTGCTAAATGGCACCATAGATAAACAGTTATGACCGGGACCCTTTGAACTGAATGTTTTGCCTCCAAATGACATCACTAAATTACGGTCATGGCTAGAGTTCGTATGCTTCCCAATGACACTAAATCCTTGAAATATGATCAATACGATATGATCGATAGGGCATAAAGTCCTCTGTCAGCTAAGGTGGATTCAAATTTGTCTTCTTAAATAAACATCCACCCCAAGTCTACAAGATATCCTTAAACGACGCAACTCATGGTTGCTGACAAGGATCCTTCTGTCAGGTTGGGTCGACTACCTCCTTTGGCTAAGTAGACCAGGGACCACGATGACCCGGGACGATGGAACCATGGGATCTTGATCGGGCTCATCATCACTACCCCCACCATCCACTTTAAGTGCAAGATGGTGAAAATTTCAATTTTAAATATCAAATTCCAAAACCCAAAACCCCATGCTTCTACTATATGCCGAATATCACATATCCACTGGTTTGATGTATTCATCAAAGACTAGCCTTAATCGAAAGTTCTCTCTCGTTACTGGGAGGGGTAATTAACTGTAGGGGCTTGCGCCTATAGTAAACCAGAACTCAAATCATAGAGTCCTTGCAAAATGAGGGTGAAATCTCTGAGTAGTGTCTTATCTACAATCCTAATTTGCCTTCTGAAAATTTACCCCAGAATCTAATTTGTTAGAACTCCCCTTGAAAGCAAAAAGAAAGCACAGCCAAGGGGAGACCAAGGCGCGAATTTTTGGAGCCCACACTAAACAACCATGTTAATTAGACATCAACTTGAGCTGAGTTGGTTGTTGTTTAGGCATGTCAAGAGCATTAAGTTTAGTCAAAATCCACAAAGTTCATCAACCAGCTAATTCATTGAATTTGGCTTGACAAATTTGGATGACCATGCAAGCTCAATGAAACCTTAGATCAACAAGAATTACCCGACCAATCATGTCCACCGAGCAACTATTCAGTTGGCTGTAGTTTGGCAAAATAGGTATGAATCAGTCCGATTATGTGAACTTGACCAATATGGATATTTGAAGTGGTCCTGTAACATTTGTTCACCTAATGCCTTTGTTAATATAAAAAATCAGTATCCAATAAACTCTTAGTATGTGCACAAATGACGTTTAACCAAAAAAAAAAAAATGCTAGATCCAATCTGCTCGAATAGTTGATGAATAGTCATAATGGAGCCATTCACTCTCATGCCATGAGCATTACCTGGAAAACCGTAATTGATGAATATTAATCATAAGTGATAAACTTTTGCATGCTCTATATTTGTAGGTTTGCATCTGCCTGAGCCGGTTCATAATACCACAAAATAAACATGATGAAAATCTAGTTTGCAAATAGATTAAAATATTGAGAAATTTTTTTTGAGACAATTAATGCCTTCTTTACCTTTACGTCAGGACATATAATTATGCATTACGTACAATGATACCTAAAATATAGCTCTTTTATCATGTATGTATTATCTTATTATGCTTGGTAGACACAATTTTGTCCCTGACAAGATTGTATGCTTGATTGAGTAGCTCTAGTTACATATAAGTGGGCTATTACGTTCATTTATTTTCATAGGTAATTCTATATATTATTAGGACTTTATTTTTTCCAAATCCTCATCATAGAATTTGTCTGTTTAGGAAATTTGAGTTTTCCTTCATTGGTTTAAGATCACGAGACTATTCTAAATGATGCAATTCATATTTATTGATAATAAGTCTCATTGTTGGGTGGTTCGACTGACTTCTATGCTAAGTGATTTTATGCTTGATAGCCTTTGGATGATGGACCAATGTAGTCCTAATGAGGTGATTTCTACCTTTCTTGGGTTTCCCACTCGCTACACCTCACCATTTTTGAACCATTATATTTCTTTACTTAGTAACACTGTCGTTGCTAGGTCCTAAGTCCTGGATGAGAAAAGTGGAGGGTTGCATTAGGTAGTCGACAACCAGCGTAAACTTATCGAATAATCATGACATGAATCCTTTAAAAAATTGTGTTAATGTTAGGGCGTCCCCGGGATGCGACACATTGTATGGCCTGAATACAATGACAAGTGTGCAAGAGCCGCTGCACTGGCGACCGGGTGCAGTGTTAAATAGGCAAGGGTTATCCTGAACATAATT